TTCAAGGCTGCACGTTTCTCTACTGAGGTTGTGCTTTTTCGTCATAAATCGTAAAAACACAACAGCATTTTCTGTTCTCCATACATCCCAGTCAGTTTTGTGCCTGTGAAGATATGGTCTGTGAAATGTGAGGGGTTGTGGAAAAGCTGCCTAACCTCTTCTGATATTTAGATAAATTCTTCAGCCATTATCATTTCAGATTATGTAGAAATGAAACAGTAGCCATAGTCAGAGTAAGCAAATGCCTTCTTCCATCCCGGTTTTTTGGTAATAATAGTACTGTGATCTTTTCCATTCTTTTGTAGTCTTTTCCCTTTTGAAATAAATTCCTGAGTGTCTTTAAAGTGTTATCTCCAACAGAGCTTTCTTCTGTAGGTGTTAATTTGTGCCCAGCCACTTTTGGCAAATTCCTCCTCTTGAGTCATGGCCATCTCCCTCCTTGGTGCTGAAGTGGCAGAGCACAGATGTGGTTCTGCTCTCGCTGGTGATAAGAGTAGATTGTCATATGTACACTGTGTTGTGTTCCATTTCATATCTATTTATTCTCTTTCCAATTTCATCTTGAAATGCTTTGGGGATCATCTGGCCTAGATGAGCCTCATCCCAAACTCTCTGCAGGTTGATTTGCTTCCAAAATCCTCTTCCCCACCAGCACCACTTATTTTGTGAGGTAGAAGTGTTGCTAGTTAGTCCGTCACCCTCTTCCATTACGTTTGACAGATGTATGTGTACTAGAGACTTTTTTTGCCCTTGGCTGTTATGTCTTTCCATGGCAAGCAGATTAAATGTCTGCCAGCTGAAGCAGTTTCTGGGCTCTCTTGTTCTCTTTGTAGTGACTGTTTTGCATCCATTAGACATTTCAAAGGAATGTTGATACTTGGTAGCTTTACTTTTATTCATTTCCCATTTTTTGGAGTTGTCAGATTGTTTAAAGAACTTGGGTTGGAGCTATTCTAATTGGATACTATGTCTTATTTTTATCCTTTCTTCTTATTTGGTATTGATTTTGACATTTATTCTAACCAGTGGATAATCTGACTGAACACAACAAGTTGCTTCTAAAATAACTGCTGCATTGGTAGCTAGGCATTTCTTGTCTATAATGGTCATTTTCTTTTTCTTTCTTTGTTTCTTTTTTTTTTGTGAGAGTAGGTTTGGCATCTTTTGACAGTTACCTTGAAGAAAGTATTTCTTGATATGTAAGCTACGTGACTTCTGAGTGGGTTACAAGAAGTATTTGGCCTCTTTTGTTTCTAGTTAACAAACTATATTTTTCAGCTTTGACTGGGGTTTTTTTGGTTGTTGTTTGGCATTATTCTTTGTGCCCCTCTTCCCATTAAGTCACTGGGTGTTTAGTTATGTATGGATTTAATTTTTGCTTTATTGTCATAGAATTTCTCCATCATGTTCTCTGCCAGAGACTTGGTACATAAGCTTCTTTTGCTTATCACAAAGATTGCACATTAAGATACCAAACTTTTGGGTAATATTTGTAAACTCTGCATCACTCCTTCCTCTTCCCTTTCTTCCCTTTCTCTACTATGTTACTGTGGCACAGATATAGAAGTGAATGAGGACATTTTGTAGTCTTATCTTACTTGGGTCCTTCCTCTGACCAGAATAATTCATCACTCAGCATTCTGGTATTGACCCCTGTGTATTTATGCAGGAAGGTCCTTAGGCAACAGATAAGGTTTAGAACTGGTAGTATACCTGAAGCTTTTCATGGCTTGATTGAAGTTGCCAAAGTCTGTGCACTCCAGTGGCCTGCCCTTCTAGAGCCAATGGTCACCTTTACACCACAGTACCACAGTGAGGTATCTGGATGGGGATTTTATAAACCTTAAAGCTCTATGTAAATGGCAGCTTTGTTTTAATTACTAGGAATGTAAGATCACAGATTGAGAACTGCGTGGACCTTTGAGATCACTTTTTAGATGAGGGCCCATAGAGGCAAGGTAGGTGGCACAGTGGATAGAACTCTGGGCCTGGAATCAAGAAGAACTGAGTTCAGATCCATCTTCAGCCACTTAGCAGCTGTGTGTCTCTGGGCAAGTCACTGAACCTCTGTCTGTTTCAGTTTCCTCCACTGTAAAATAGGGATAATATTATAGCAGAACCTACCTTGCCTTGCAGAGTTGTTGTGAAAATCAAATGAGATAGTATTTATCAGAGTACCACTTATCACTGTCTCTGGCACATAGTAGGTACCATATGAATGCTCATTACTCTTTCCCCTTCCCACCACAGAGGGTGACGTAAATTGTCTAAATTATAAGATTGGAAATAGAGAGGACTGGATCTGTGATTTTCTTGATATAGGGAACTCCTGGGTGAGGAAACGCTGCCTACTAATGCAGATTGGTACTTCCTTGGCAGTTTATAATCTTAGAAATTATTAAATAGACTTGGCTAAAGTCACACAGCCAGACTGGGTCAGTGGTGGGACTTAACTCAGGTCTTCCTGGTGCCAAGGCTAGCTCTCCACCAAGCCATGCTTCTGCCTTTTTATCCAAATCATTTATTTTTTAAAAATTATTTTTGTTTCTTATGTTTCTTTTTTTTTTTTATAGAGCTTTCCATGTCAACAGTGCTTTTATGGCGTGAATTCTGGAAGTGTGTTACCAAAGATAGATAGAGATACACACACATATATTTAAATTAAGTTGCCTCCATTAATTGGAATAAAAACTTGGTTACTCTAGCTCTGGAAAGCTCAGATCACCTTCTAGTGCACAGAAAGGACGTTTGTAGGCAATTTTTTATTTTCCCCCATAGAGAACAATGTCATACTACCTAGCCTATAAATTAGAATATGCTAAGCTTCTTCCCCCTGAACCCCTCTGAAGCCCTCAAGTTAACAGAAGGTATATGCAGACAGAGGTACAGTTAGTTACTGCTGTATCATCATATTAACCGTGGACAGATTTAAGCTGTTTTTTTTACCTTATGCTAATCACAGTTACTGCTTCTCTTCCCACTTTACGGTTGTAAACATTGACATTTTATTTTATCTCTTTAGATTTTAGTAAATAAAACTAAGTGGGTAAGTCTGATATAAAGAGTAATATTAATGCAAGTAGGTGGCCATTTTGTTGGTTATAGATGAATCATACTTTGGGAAATAAAATGGATCAATTCCTGCCAGAGAGATTTGAAGGGGAAAAGTGCAAACTAAATGCCAGGATTGGAAGCAGAGTTTTGTTTGTGGTTCTTTCCCTCTCCCTTTCCCTCTCCCTTTCTCCCTCTCCCACTCCTTTTTCCTCTTTTCAATTCTCCTTTCTTTAATTTTTTATATAGTGTTTCTGGTGGGAACTTGAGGAATGATAATTCATCAGTACCTTTGGTTTTAATTAAATTCAACAAACATTTATTAAGTCAGTACTAGGTAGGAGGTGCTAGGTAGTTAATTTCATGTTTGTGCTAAATTGGCACCTTGTCTGTTATCTTATGGATCCATAGATCTCAGACTGTTGCCTGGGGGTCACCACTTGCTAGGTAGCGTTCCTGCTCACCCCCCTGATGAGTGTCAGAGGGTGTTGAGCCAGGGCCTTCCTGACTCCAAAGGCTAGATCTTTATCTCATGCTACAAAGGTGGGGAAAACATCCCTACATTCCAGAAGCTTAAATTATATCGGAAACACAATTTCATTCCACTTCTGAAGCATTATATACAGTTATTTATACTGGTGGGATAGAAGTTTCTTGAGTTTGGGACTGTTGGTGTTCTTTGTACCCAAACTCATTGCATCTCTAGGGTACCCAATGTTTGTTGAAGTGGAATGGATTGAATTGTGGCTCCCATTCCTAAGTAGCAGTCAGTATAGTTTTGTATTATGCCACTTGGAGGGCCTTTCAATTGTTCTATTTGATTGTAAGCATTGAAGTATTTTTTCATGTTGCTGTCAAGACATAAGTTCTCAACTTTCAGACTTTTTCATAACCCAGTTAACTGTATGGTTCATCAACAGCAGAATACTTTTTCATCCATGGCTCTCTCTTCATTGCCTTTTAAATAAAGCAATCTGTTTTAAAATTTTTGAAATGCATTTCAGCATTTCTTTTATAATAGTTTTGCCTCACTATCAATAAGCCCCATTAAAATCACTCTCTTTAGACTAGGGTTTTATAATGCCTCTGACTACAAAGAGAAAAAACATTTCACCCAGGTCACAAGAGGTGTTTTACATTAAGACCTAATGTGCCTCAAAGGTGTGTTTTTTCTTTTTTTTTTCTTTTGCAAATAAAAGATGTTTATACTCATTTTTTCTTTTGCAAATAAAAGTATTTATACTCATTTTTAGAAGCCGTGGATAATAATCTGGTTGCATTTTAACTTTCAGTGGCTGAACAGTGTTAGAACTCAAATTCCTAGACCCCAGTTAATTGCTTTCTTTTCCTAGACCCTCATACCAAATCAGACTTGGAACCAGCTGCAGCTGTTCTCTACCTTAGATGTCAAATTGAGCTGACATGTAGAACTGTTAACCTTGACTATAAATGGTATAGTGTTTTTATTGGAATTAAAGAATCCACTATGAAATAGCCCAGGGTGGGGTGGGGAGGGGGGGAAGATAGGGTGAGGGTGGAGAATGATTTTTCTACATATCTTCACATAATTACATGAATCATTGGCAGTTGGCATGTACCTGCTAATCACATGGCTTTTTGATTTTCTTTTTCTTACACAGAATACTTCAGAATTAAAACCTCATTCTAAATCATCTCTTCTTCACCGTGCCTTCCCCCAAACCTTACCCCCCCCCTTTTTTTTTTTTTTAAGTTTTGCCATTTCAGCTATAAGGCCTTTGGAAAGTATGTGCTATGGATCACTCTTGCCTTAGTTCAATAATTTGAGATAATTAAGAAAGGCTGATTACAATCCAAACAGCAGTGTGGTTGCTGATTATCATGCTGTGTTCCTAGCAATCTCATGAGTCTCATAAATGCTACAAGGTGTGTTAAGAATAGTCTGATGCTGTTTTGTTTTGCTCAAGTAGGCTGAGCAGAATCCTGGGAAAACAAGCATGATGTCAGGTTCTGAAAAAGAGCAAGATGGCAACCGAAGGGTATTTGATTTTTTGATTTAGGATTGAGACCACTGAGTGCTCCTAGTGTGCTTCATTAGGTTGCTTGATTTACATGTATTTGCCCTGTCAGCAGTATGTTGCTTGCATGCATTTTCTTTTGTATTTCTGATTCTTTCCATATGGCATTGGATGTGCATTCATTTGTAGATGTGTTTAACTTGTTTTTAAGAGAGTATAAGGGCTTGACCTTATGTCATTTTCCTTATATTTTCTTAAGTCTTCTTCACCTTCCAAAATGTTTTGTTCCACGCCTTAGTAAAATAGGTCCTCCTGTGACACCTCAGAGAACAAAATATTTTCAGAAGAGGTAGAGTCCTGAGTAGTGTCAGACTGTGTGGTCTTTTAAATGTAAATCAGTAGTTAGTTGCCTATGAATGCATAGCCACCTAGGTAATTGCTGGGGTGGGTTATATGCCAAATAACCAAGTAGCTGTGTTAGTGAAAGCTTTGGCAGTGTGTGTATCTCTCTCTCTCTCTCTCTCTCTCTCTCTCTCTCTCTCTCTCTCTCTCTCTCTTTCTCGCTCTCTCTCGCTCTCTGGTCCAGAATGACTGAAGAATTTGTATGTGTGTTGTTTTAACAGGTTAGAAGGGTTCCCGGATCCAGTGGTCATCTTCACAAGACAGAAGACGGAGACTGGGAGTGGAGTGATGATGAAATGGATGAAAAGAGTGAAGAAGGAAAAGCAGCATTTTCTCAGGAAAAGGTATAAGGCAGTTGCTTAACTTGGGGTTGACGCTCTTAGCAAAGGAGAACTGGTATTTTTGTTTTTGTGGCATTTAAATATGACGTGTTAGTTTTTGTGCATTAACTTCGGATACTTGTTTTACAGTCACGAAGAGTAAAAGAAGAAAATCCAGAGGTGAGTTGTTTTCCTCCCTTCTTTATCTCACTCCTGTCCTGTCCCTTTAAATATCTATCTGGGACTAATCATTTAGAGGAAAGACTTTGAAGTTTTGAGGTTCTACTTGAAAAATAACACAGAAAACCAAGGTAAAATTTTATCATCATTTTTTTGTCAACGGCAAGTCGCTGGTTAAAATGTCCAGGAAATTCATTCAGAATTCGCTGGTCTTGATCTTTAAAGTCTCCTATGAGTCTTGGTTAGGCAAGGGAATACTCTTTTATCAGTAGCTTCTCTTTGAGAATTGGTCATCTTTTGATCAACTTTGATTTTTGATTCTATTAACTTCCTGATTTCCTAGTGACTAATGATGGCCGTGTTTCAAAGGAGTTGGTAACTAAGAAAGAATTTCAGCCTGTTAGAATAGATTTAAATATTGTACAGAACTAGTCATTAATATGTGCTTATGGCAAAATTAGATAAAAAGAAAAGAAAAACATCATGTTTACACATAACCTAGCATCCTTCATTCTCTTTACATTTAAACCCATCCTCCAGTTAGTAGGCATTTTCATTTGATTAACTGTAGCCAGTCTTGTAGTTTAGACTTATCTCAGTGGCACTAGTCAATGGGAACTTATCAGGAGGAATGGGCCAATCCCTCAACCCTCTGCTATTATTTTCTTATACTATTTGTACATAATCCCTTCCATAACTACTGGTAGTAGTTTTGTGTCTGCGCCCTTTCTTTCCCTGCACTTAAAAACTGAATCTGATTGTTCTCTTCTGTGTACTTTTCCATTTAACTGCCTCCCTATCTCCTGCAGATAATTTTTCCCCTAATATTTATCCTGCAAATTGATTTACTTTTCCCACCCACTCCCAAACATGAAAATAATTTCTAAGCATGAAAATTATCTTTCTTTCATTAGGGATAGAATCCTGCTTTTACAATCTGTGATGGTTGCATATGCCAGAAGCTTTAGTAACATGGGTCACATTGGGCATAAAGGCTGGTCTCTTCCAGTTAGTGTGAATATTTCCCTATGCTTTTCCTGCTTTCTCATTTTTGCCTGTTATTTGACCCCAGAGTCATGGATGAGAAATCATTGTTGTTATAAAGCTATAAAAAAAATAGCCTAAGAAAGAAAATGGTTCCAGTATCAGTTTTGAATCAAACAACCATTACTAATGTACTATAAGAACTTGACTGCCTGATACTTAATCTTTACATCACTGGTGCAGACTGATAGGTGTGTGGTTTTTTTTGCTCATGAAGATTGACAGGTATGTTATAGTACCATTTGAAATAGCTCTCAGGGTTTAAGGGGAAAAAAAACCTGGGATAGTAATATCCTCTTGCCAGGAAGGCTTTACTGCCTTGAAATGAAAAAAGAGACACTAACTGAATGGTCTCAATTAACCAGTATTTTAATCTACTAGAGTAGATTTTAAAACATTGGCTATTTATCTCTATGTCTGGAAGACATCGTTGATTTCCTAGCATGGTGCCTGCTTAGAGATCTCATTTTGTAATCAGTCTATGAATTCAGACATATTTTTAGTTAAATCCTATACTCCTGCTTTTATTTATATATGATTTTGGGTATCATCATTTCCACCTAGTTTTAAGACATTTGAAAAGAGAGTTCCATTTTGCTTTAATCTACTGCTCTAATGAAGTTTCCTGTTACCCAAGTGTGCACATGTGCAAACACACACATACTTGCACCCCATTTTGGTGCCATGGTTAGGTGGTTGGCATCTTCCCAAAATGGTATGGCAAGGGTTAGGAACAGTTCAGTATCAATCAGTCATTTAAGTTGCATGGAGTACAAAGAGATATGCTTTTTGGGTGCTGTGATCTTGTAATGTACATCAGGCATACAATTGCTGTCACACATAAATACATCCGAAAGATTCTAGAATTAAAACCTCTACCTTTGTTATCTCACTTGTTCCTCAGAACAACCCTGTGAGGTAGGTGCTGTTATTATCCCCATTTTACAGATGAGGAAACTGAGGCTCAGAGAGGTTGAATGCCTTGCCCTTGGTCACACAGATAGTAAATGTCAGAGGTGGGATTTGAACCCAGTTCTCTCCTGACTCCAAGTCCAGCACTTTATCCACAATACTACGGTGCCTTTCATCAGTACCTGAGTGGTTTGTCAGGTGTTTACATCATTTCTAAGGCAAAGGTAAGCATGGAGAGCACAGGTAAATGCATAATTTTGGTGACCATCAGGAAAAGACTCCATGGGACTATGACATCTGGATGGAGTGAAGTCAAAAACACTGTTTTGTCTGCTAAATGGTATTTCACAATCCGATGAAGAAGAGAGAGCAAGAAAAACAGCTTAGTCATTATCTAGGGATTGGAAGTTGGTGTCTAGGTTGGATTAAATTGAAAAGTCGGAATGACTAGTTAAGGAACCCTTGTAGTTATGTCTTAAGAATTTCTCCATAAATTACAGACTCATAGGAACTAAGCTAACAAGGGGACTCAGAGGCCCTGTAGTCTAACCTGGTGTGATGGGTAGAGCGCTGGACTTAAAACGAGGAAGATCTCGGTTCAAATCCTTCCTCTGCCATTTACTACTATGCAACCACAGGCAAATCACTTAATTTCTCTGAGCCTCAGTTTCCTCATATGTGAAATAGGGAAAAATAACACCTATAGTACCTTTTAGTACAGAGTTGTTAGGAGACGCAGATATAATCATGTATGTTAAACTTTTTTGCAAACCTTAAAGCACTCTATAAATATTCAAAATAATTGAATGTGAGAGTGCGTGCGCACGCGCACACACACACACACACACACACACGCATGCACACACACAGAGTACCTGAACAAGAATTCCTTCTGTAGCACGTAAAAGTAACTATTCTGCCTCTCATTAAAGGCTCTCCCTCACTACCCGCTATCACTTAATGGGACGATATCATACCTTTTAGATAGCTTTAATCTTTGGGAAAATTTTCCTTACATTCAACCTAAATCATCTTAGTAATTTCTACATGTTATTCCTAGGCTGCCCTCTGGGACCAAACAGAACAAATCTTTCTCCCTTTCCCCATGACAGCTCTTGGAATCCTTGATTATAACTATAAAATCCATATTTCCTCTCCCAAAGTCTTTGAAAAGCTGAAAATTCCCAAGTACTTTAATATGGCAAAATTTTAAGGCCTTTTAAAATATTCTGGTTGTCTTCTCTCCAGGCTTTTCAGTGTCCTTCATAAAGTGTGGCACATGGAGCTGAACCTAGTCCTCTAGATAAACTACTGTCTATTCCTGTCTATCTTATCTTACGCTCTAAGGTTGAGTCTTTTGAACCTATGTGTAAGACTTTTACGTTCATTCTATCTACCTTATTAGATTTGGCCAGATATTCTTGTCTTTTGAGGTCATTTTGAATCCTGCAATAATCCTATAATTAGCAAATTTGATAAGTATGCTATAATAATAATCATAACAATGCAAAATAATTGGCATATAGCACTTTAAGCTTTTTTCAAATGCTGTACATATATTGTCTCATATGATCCTCACAATATCCCCAAGGGGTGAAGGTGTTTTTAGTTTCTGAAGAAACTGAGGTGTAAAGAGATAACTTGGCCATGGTCATGCTGCTCATAATGTTTCAGGATATCATTTTAACCCAGATCTTCCTGACTCTAAGTACCCAACACTTTAGCCAGCATACCAAACTGCTTCTACCATAGATGCCTTTGTCTAAGCCATTGATAAAAATGATAACTAGCTCGGGTTTCCTATCTTTTCTACAAAAAAAATAGCACGAAAGGCTTTGTAGAATGCTTTGCTGAAGTACAGGTAACACGTGTATGTGTAGGTATTTACAGCGTTATCCTGATTTACTGATCTTTTGATCCTCTTCCTCTCCCCTCCTCCCGCCTCCCTAAAAAAAAAAGTGGCATATGATCACTTCCCTTTCAGTTTTTGAAAGTTAGGGCAGCATTCATCCTTGCGAGTCTTGTAGCATTTCGCTCATCCTTCATGCTCTTTCAAAATCTTTGACAGTATTTCATCATTCACGTTTTCCTCCTTCCTTTACTACACTGGATGTAGTTCAGCTGGGCCTGGTGACTTAGAATCATCAGGGGTGTCCAGGTGTACTCTTAACGTCTCTACAGAATGTTAATGTTACCCCCAAGATTCCCATCATTTCTTTTTCAGCAACCTTCGGTGAGAGTCTGGTCCAAAAAAGGAAGAGAAAAGAAAAGCAGCTTCATTTATTGCTTCTTTCACCTTTTGAAGTATGCAACTATCATTAATGCAAGGGAAGAAATTACTAGTTGATCTGCTTTTGACAGAGTAAGAATCTAGATTTCTGGAGAATTGAATTCCATTTCTACCATATCATGCCTCTGTGGCAACCCTATCCATATTTCTTTGAACTTTGGCGTATACTGTGGTGACAATATCATTATTACTGCTGTTAGTCTATGTCTAGATAGTCTCTGCCATGCTTCTCCCTTCCCCATCCTATTCTTGGATTTCTCCACATTAGTTTATCACCTTAGTACACAGCGCTATTTTACCCAACTTCCCTACATGCCTCATTTGTTCTCTTTAAAAAAAAAAAGTACGTCCTTGTAGAGCCAGTGTTCCCAGTCGTGAGTCCCATCCCACCAGTTCTCCGTGATACCCTGTGGGTTTTTTATAGCTGGCTGTTTCTTAGTTTTTTGTTTTTTGTGAATTTCTGGGCATCTCTACTACTACTCTTTGTTCTTTGGAACTAGTGTGTGGGTGGGGGGGGCGGCACCTAATTGGGGAGGTTTTCATAGACAGTTTTTTCCATCCCCTTTCCTTGTCAGTTTAGCCTTTTGATGAATGTGGAAGATCTTTTGCTTTCTGTTTCTCAAATCTGCCTTTCTTTTGTGAAGCCCTTGTCTGTAACTGAGAGCAGTGATGGAAAAAACCACTTCTGCCCTTAAGATGCTCAGTTTCTTGCCTGAATCAAATTCAGGAGGAGCATCAGCTTCTAACTATCAAGTATGGATTTGTTCCTTTTTCTGTCTTCTGAGCATAAGAGATGACAATGATGAAAAAACAGGAACTGTATTTCTAATAAGATTGCTTAGCATTTTCATTGGAAAGAGCAAGATACCTAGGTTATAACAATAACAGTTTATGTTTACATAGTGCTTTAAGGTTTACAAAGTCTTTTAGGTACATGGCCTTTCTCATTTGATCTTGCAACAGCCCTGGATGTAACAAATTATACCCATTTTACAGATGAGAGAACTAAAGTGCAGTAAAAGCTGAATCACTCGCCAAACTTCACACCACCCATGGAACGAGTGTTCACATCAGGTGGCCAGGTGTTCTTTCAGCTGTAGCATGCTGATTCAGTTTGAGAAAAAGGAAATGACTGTTACATTGTTGCATTATCTTGTCCCCCTTGGGTGATGATTAGTATGATGCGATGAAAGAAAAATAATGTTTCTTCATTCAACAAGTTGTTTTTGAAGGCCTAGGAAAGCGTTGCTTGTTGATGATTTACAAAGAAGTACAAAATGGCCCTTTAGCCTTTTGGGACTTAGCCATCCTGTGAACTATACTTTCTTGTTATCATTTGCAATTTGTAGGGGCTGGCCAATATCTGTAGCGTTGAGGATAGTGTTGTCCACGTAGTGACGTGGATGTATAGTATAGGGATCTCTTAGGTGAGGTAACTTCCTTTACCACTGTGTCTGCTGCACCTTAGTATTGTCTTGCTTGGACCGCTGAGAGGCTGAGAGTTTGCCCAGGGTCACTTGGCCAGTATGTGTCAGAGGTAGGCCCTGCACCCAGGGCTTTGTGGCCTGAAAGGCCAGGTCTCTAGCCCTGGCTGCCACTTAACTTGAACATAACAGACACGTAATATTCCATTAAATTAATTTGGATCACAGCTTCTCATTGCTTTTGCATTTGTTCTTTGCTAAAAAGGGAAGCGAGGTGGATTTTGATTCTAGTAACTACTGCTGTATGCTCAACATCCCCAAGAGGTCAGTATTTCATAGCCAACATTCTCATTAAGGAGCACTCAGATAAGCAGCACCCTCAAGCAGTTGGCAATGCCCAGGACTACAGAGTCCAGGCTAAAAACTAGGGACAGTCTCTGCCCTGCCCTTGTGAAGATCTGTGCTAACAGCACAGCCTGACCGTTTTAGAAAATGAGGATGGACCTCAAGGGTCCCTTGTAAAATCTCTGGACATGTTCGTTAAGGGGCATAGAGCAGGGTGAACTGGTGTGGCAGTTACTATCTGAAATTTAGCCATGCCTACAATAAGTACCATAGAGTGTTGTGTTTCAGGGAAGCTCCTACTTTCAGCTTCCACAGTTTGATTTCATGGGAAAAAATTATTCAGTCTAAATTCAACCCAAGTTTATTATGTTGGCTAAGAAGCTGGAAACACGCTGAGATTTATAGTCACAACTAATTTTTTTCTCTAAAACACATACCTTTCAGTGGCTATAAGTGACTTTTAGATCCATGCTAGCTACTTCCATTTCTAATCAAATTTATTTTTTTTAATCACTTATTATTTCCATCAATTTTCAAAGCTTTCTGTTTTTTCTTTGTGTGGAAAATTTATTTTTAAATTTAGGTTTATTATGATTAACTAAAGTCATTAGAATTAATTATCGTTTTTTTTATAAGGCCGTATTAAAAATGTGAGAGACAAAATAACATAGCTAGCTTCTCACATGTCTTGGCTGGGTGATGTGACCCTGGACAAGTCAGTCAACCCCTTTTTGCTATAGGACAGTGATTCTTTAACACAATCAGTTGCAGAAAAGGAGAGGATCTGAATTGGGACAGGGAGTTTCCTTACATGGATTTCCTTGTAACAATTACATCACAGGAGTAGTCCAAAGAAATTTTGTGTGTGTGTGTGTTGAATATTCTATTTACTAAGTAGAATTTTTTTCTTTGGAAATAGGCTGTATTTCTAGAATTTCCAAAGTTGAAAGATAAAAGTAATTCCTAGGCACAAAGTTGACCTTACATTCCTCCTTCCTGTTTTTGGAAGCCTTTCCTCTTTTGCTTAACCCAAACTCCAAAATTGTTGCCTTCTTCTCCCACCAGAGCACTCATTCCATCTAGTGTCTTTGTCCTTATTGGAGACTGATCCTGCACTCAAACTTATTCTAAAATAGTCATAACTGATAGCTCAATATGTTACCCTCCCTAGGATTATTCATGTTTCAAAAGTAACTGCTGGGAAATGTCACTGCCTTAATCTAAAATGACATATGTCAAATGGTAGCATTTCAGGCACTATGACTGGCCAGTGGGGAGTGGAGGGAGGAGATTTTAGTGAGGTGGCCATTTCTGGGAGTCCTCACACCACCATACATCCATGCTTTGCCTGTATGTGCCCCTTATCAGACACCAGCAGATAAAACTGTGTACCTGTGGAGGCACTGCATGAGCCAGGTAGACAAAAGTAGCCTCTTTCCAGTTTGTTTCAGTGCAAAAACAGATTAAAACTTTCATTTGACTTCCAGAAAATTAACCCAGCTATTCTCTTTAACTGGGTCATTTCTATATTGTTCCAGGATGGATCTGGACTTTGTGTAGAAGTCTTATCTTCTGAGACAAAAGGCAGAATTAATGGGAAATCTAGAATATAATGCAGTCAAGTGCAGAGTACTAGAGCACTAGAGGGTTTAGCTGCAGTGGTTCCATGACTAATTCCAGGGTTCTTCCTTATCTGAAACTGTAATACTTGGGTGTTTCATGCAGAATGGAGCAATTAGGCCTTAATTAAAGAGGTGGAATCATAGAACTAAAAGATACCTCAGGTGATCACATGGTTCAGTCGTGTGCCTTCTAGATGGGGAAATAACTATCTAATGTATTCAGGTTAATCTGCTTTGTTACATAGTCATTTTAAGTGTAACTAGAAAATAAGATTTTGCTTCCTTTCACTTTTGAAAACTTTCTCAGAGTTAGCATTATTTTTGGTATCTGATCGTTGGGAATTGATAAGAAAAGAGTAGATATAGGGAATCTCTTTTCTCATTGGTAATTGCTGCTTCTTGTGGAGTGCTGGGTACTTGGAGTTGGGTTATAGAACAGAGGGTAGGAACATAGCACTGGAGAAGAAAATCATGGGTATTTTACTAGTGCCACTTACATTTCAGACTTTGAGGGGGAAATTCTGCACACCACTCTGGATCCATGCTTCTGTGATGGGGAAAAAAACAAAACTAAAACCATATACCAAAAAAAATACCTTTATATATATTAGATCTTCCTTTTGGTGTGTTTTCAAGGTAATGATTAAAGGGTCTTTACAAAGGGTCTGCTAAGCAAGCATCTTTTAAGTTAGGATCCTTTAATATTTTATCAGATTATGCCACAAGTAACATGCGTCTTACGGCTTGTTTCCATTTTCACCTTGATATGTCAAACAAAATGTGTTTTCTGTCATTCATTTCTTTTCTTAATTTCTTTACCTTTTGAAAACAGTAGTTGTGTTTCTGATCATTAAGACTTGATCATCATCAGACTGACTTTAATGTTATAAATTTGGTGCCTTGAAGTACTCTAATGCATTACTCTTTTGACAGATCACGGTGAATGCCAGCAGTATACCTGAGCAGATAAAGTCACTCTCTATACAGGACTCTCAGGTATGTACCTGTACTGTTCACTTAAATTTGGGATAGTTCACAGAAGAATCTTCAAGGACACTAATATTATAGTAAAGAGATTTTATAACTTCAAAATAATACTTCCAAATCATGGGCTTGTAAATTTTTTGGTTTTGAATAAAGGGCGTGTGGGAGAACAGTTGTTATTTATCATGGCTTGTGGTCCTCCAAGCAAAAATGGATTCCTACATGCCTTTCAAGATTGTTAGTGTTGTATGAAATAATAAAAGGAATGAAAATAGCGAAAACATGATGCCATATTTCAACCTTGTAACTCACGAGTAATTAATAAATAATAGGATTTTTCAGTTTTGTTTTGATCTTAGAGAAGAATACTGATTTAAAATCCTGAATTTCACTTACTCTTTATCATTGCTGGATTCTTTGTTAGCAAACTTCACAAGCTGTTTTCGTGTCTTCTATTTTTACTATTAAAACAAATGTCATGATTGACTTCTTAGACCCTTTAAAAATAATTACAGGAAATGTGAAGAATCTTATATGGTCACTTAGGAGCCAGTACCCTTTAGGAAAGAGATTGCTCCATTGAAGGTTTACTGTGACTTTGGGCAGGCTGTCTGATGCCGTGTGCCAAAGAGTCACAGTGGCATCTGAGCTGCACAATACTACTAATTTTTTACTTTGAAAATGGAAAATTCATTTAAAGTTTTAGTCACATTCTCCTAAATTTCTCTTCTTTAGAAGACTATCGATTAGTTGGCAGGGGAGCACTGTGGAAAGCGGGCTGGATTTGTAATCGAAGGATCTGGCTTTGAAACCTGGTTCTGTCACTTAGCACTGTTACCTATGTGATCTGAGCAAGTCACTTAACCTTTTTAGGCCTTAGTTCCCTCACTTGTAAGTGGGTAGATTTGATGTCAGCTATTAAGTTTATGCTACACTGAACTTTTAATAAGTGTTTGACATCATCAGGGTTGGTGTTTCTCAACAGCTAATCTGTGGTAAATGTGGGGCTGGTCTGTAAAACTTTTACTACTTCTTAAAACCTATATACATAGACAGACTTCTCCCAGATGCTTCTCCTTTGGCTCTTTCCCTCTTCCTTTTTTTCTTGGTCCCTGTCTCTTGCACTGCTGAGAGCAGCTGTGGTAAAATGCTGGAGAACATAACAGTCCTCAAGGTAATTTATATATCTTATTAGTACACAGAATAATTTCGTTCAGAAAACATAGACTTACTCCAAGCTAGCCGTGTCCCCATTTAATAGATGAGCAAATTGAGACCCAGAGATAGTAAGTGATCTGCCTGGGGTCACATTTGGTTATGTGGTGGTAGAATGATTACTACTGGCTCCACAGCTATGACGATGATTGCTGCTGATGCTGCTACTTTTACTTTTACTACTACTATTGCTACCACCACTACCTAGTGCTGTTACTATTACGTGATATTTATATAGCCTTTTGAGATTGGCAAAGGATTTTACATATATTATCTTATTTGATCCTGTAGGTAACCCTGTGAGATAGATTTTATTATCATCTTCACATTACAGATGAGAAAACTAATAATGATGATGATAGTAATAAGAGTAAATAAATAACATTTCTATAGCACTTACTATGTGCCAAGTACTATGCGAAGCATTTTACAAATATTATCTCATTTGATTGTTGTAACAACCCTGAGAGGTAGGTGCTGTTATTATCCCCATTTTACAGATGAGGAAACTGAGGCAAACAGAAGTTAAGGTTAATGACACATAGTTATCACATCAGTTAAGAAAAAATTTATCGAACACATCTATTCCAGGCACAGTGTTTGACAATGAAAATACACAGACAAAAAGCGAAACAGCCTTTACTCTCATGGAGTTTTATATATGATAAGAGGAGATAACATAGCCATATCAATATTTACCAAATGAATACAAGATAATTTTGGAGAGGAAGGCATTAATATTTTGTAGAACCAGGAAAGCCTTCAGAAGGGAGGTATATGAACTGCGTTTTGATGGATGCTAGGGATTCTAAGAGTCTGAGATAAGGAGAGACTTAGGGAGTGTAGAAGACAGCATCAGCCAAAACATGGCAATGGCAGAGTGAGTGCCGTGTGGGAGAAGCAGTATGAAGAGGACAATTTCAAGAGCAAAGGAAATGTAACAGGGAGTTCCATATAAGATTATGAAGTTGGATTGGATGAGGTGGTAAAAGACCTTAAATGCTGAATAGAGGGGTCTGTATTTGATCCTAGAGGTGATAAGGAGTCACTGGACTTACTGTGGAGGGGAGTGATGTGGTCAGGCCTGAGATTTGGCAGTAAGCCAGAAGGCAGGAGTTGAATCTTGGCCTTTCCTGGTTGTAAGTCCAGCAATGTCCTCTTTACCACCAAGTTCCCACAACTAGAACCCCTATTTTCCAATTCATATGCTGTTATTTCTATGTACCATACCATGATTGAGCATTTTAAGACAAACTAGAAGTTTAATTAGTTGATCAGTGACTAGTTCCCAAGATGTCACTGAGTAAAGGGAAGGCCAGGCAGTAGAGAAATGAATTGCTATAAATCGATCACCTTTAGAGGAATAGTAATTAGAAAGATGGGATTTTGTAGGCCATGTTTGAGTGGCAGAGCCCCCATTTCAGCAAGGGGCAAACAGAGTGACCTAGGATGCCAACAAAGGTTGGGTTTAAAAAAAAATAACACATTTTGCCTCTAGTATGAAATAGTATGAACAATTACCAAATGGTTGTGTTCTTTCTGGTTACAAAAGAATTCACATATATTAACTCATTTGGTTGTTACAACAACCCTGTCAGATAGGTTGCACAATTTATATTATCCCCATTTTATAGATGTGGAAATGGAACATCAGGGAAGTTAATTGACTTCCCTGAGTCCTTCTAGTTGATATGTTTCAGGATTGGAACTTGAACTCCGGCTTTCTAATTTGAAATACAGTCTCTTTCTACTGTGTCATGGCAGTTTCCCCCCTCTGTTTTCATTACTGTCTCTTCCTCATTGTTTGTGTATTGAAGAGAAGAGATGTCCCATGAGTGAGGACAAGGACCAGTTGGCAGCAGGTCAAGCATTCCTCTTTAAAGACACTACTTATTCTTTTGATGGTTAATCTTCTCCCTTTTTCTTCCTCTCAAAGATACCAGTAGGTCACTTTTTTTCTCTCCTGAAAATTAGGATTTCTTTTTGAAACTTCTATCTGAATTTTCTCTGGAAATTATTAGCCTTTTATCTCTAATGCTTCATTCTGAAGATAAGTGAGATGGTGTACATAAAGTGCTATTCAGGTTTTCGGGAGCAAAATGACCTATCTTAATGGCCTATTTTAATTCAGTGAGAGGTGATGGCACTATTCACTTATTTTCTGATAAATCTTCTAACACCTTGTATTCTTTTGTTTTTAAAGGGTCAGCCTAATATTAATGAAGAATTTACAGAAACTTCTTGTGCTGTGAATCTTGTTTTAAGATTAAGGTAAATAATTTTTTAAAATGTTGCCTTTTGTCTTTGGAGTATTATTTCTTATCACCTCATTAAGTTTTCATGGTATGAATATGAAATAAAAATGGTAACCTCTTTAATTCCCAGTATGGCCAGCTATATGCAGTATTCTGTGAACTAATTGCTATCTTCTAATTGCTTACTGAAGAAGAAGAAAATGAAAAGCAGAATATGAATGTGACTTCAAGCTTAGCGTACCCTTCATTAAGAGTTTTTTTCCCCCTTTTCCTCCCCGCCCATTGCAGTGTAGGATCACAGTGAGAGATTTTTAATGAGTTTCTTTCATACTTCAGCAGTCAGTCTCTGACAGAAATAAACCATGGCTGTATTACAAGTTGCCTGCTCAGAACATTTTTCAATGGCAGGTTTGATCAACCACTGTGGAGAAATGACAGATATATTTTGAAAGAACATTCAGTCTTCTAGGAAATAGATATAAATATGGTGCCTCTCCAGACTATGTCTAGTCTTTGTAGTTATGTAGTGAATAGGCGCTGCTGCATTTTAAAGAGCTTTTAATAGAATCAAATATGCAGCTTGTAGTCCTTAAGTATTTTTGTGATAAGATCAGTGTACTCTTTAAACATTTCATAAACTTACCTCCTGAAATGACCAGTTTGCAAAGGAGCAAAATGCCTTTCTCAGTATACATCTGCATATTCATTTTGTGTGTGTGTTATACATACACACACACACACACACACACACACACACACACACAGTTTATGTCTATACAGTATGTGTGTATGTATGTATTTACATAGTAATACTATGTACATAGTATATATACAGACACATTTTTCATCTAAAGTGATGCTTATCACTTTTTATAATAATCATTCTCATATATTATGGAGTCCCATGTAGTCAGTTAATTAGGTAAATAAAAATATGAAGTAACCTTTTTTGGATGAGCAGTATTATGGATCTGAAATTTAAAAAAAAAACATGCCTTAAGTTTTTTTTTTAACAGTTCATTAATGCACATTTATCTTTAAGGAAAGATTTTAGACAGTAATTTAAACTTTTAAAATGTTAGTTGGTATGGTGACATGAGTTATGAAGCTTTTGATGTTACCTGTATCATGACAATATTTAGCTACAACCACTGTACAACATTAGCCAGTTAATGTCCAACATTAATTTGATGGTCCAGTGCATATTTAGTATAAATCAGCATGTCTTCTCTTCAAAGGAGAACAACTTAATTTGCTTCATCAATCATAAATGATACAAACACAAAATCTAATCTATGTCCAAACCTTAGTTGGGCATTATGGTTTGCACTGAATGCTGAATGTCAGCCATCTTTTTTACTCTAATCAACATAAGGCTTTGTTGACCATACACTGGAACTATAAATACGTAAATAATTTAAGCATGTTTCCTTTCAGTTCATAGCATGCTTTCACGTATGTTATCTCATTTTAATCTCATTACATTTCTACAATTCAGTTCAATTAGCTGCCTGTTGTGTTCAAGGCAGTATGCTAGGCACTGGGGGTAACTGCAGCCCCTGCTCTTAGAGAGGTTTGAGATATACAACATTCGTGGAGATAAGTAAATACAAGGCAGTGAGAGGAGGGATAAAGCATTAACAACTGAAGAGGAATGGTCAGGAATAAAGGAGAAAAGAACACAAAGAAGGAGTGTAAAGATTGTTGTCCAAGAACAATGGAGAGATGGACATTGAATGTTGAGTTCCACGAAGCACTGTTAGGCCAATTTTACAGGAACATAGTATGAAGGAGCTAATATGAACTAAATTTGGAAGGAGGGATGGGAGTCAGATTGTAAAGACATAAACACCAGGCTTATGATTTAGTATTTTATCTAGGGGCAATAGAAAATGCTGATGCCTTTTGAGCAGTGAAGTAATGCATTTAGACCCATGCCTCAGGACGATTATTTTGGAAGCCATTCAGAAGGTATATTAGAGAAGGGAGAGATTTTACACAGGGAAACTGAATAGAGGCCATCATCATAGTCCAAGGGAAAGCTTATGAGAGCCTGAACGAGAGTGGTGGCCATGGCTTAGATGAAAGGAGATACGCAGAATGTTAAGAAGGCACATTGATACAGCTTGGCAGCTGATTGAATATGGAATGTGAGGAAGAGAGAAGAGTTCAGTATAACTTTAGAATTACAAACCTATGGTGTATTGACTTCCCCAGAAAAATAGAAAGTTTGGAGTTAGGGGTAGATATGAAAAGTTCTTTTTTATATATGTTGCATTTGATATACCTATGAGACAACAAGGTGGAGAATTCCTCTGGGTTGTTGGCTACATGGAAGAAGTCGAGAGAGAGATTAGGGCTGCATATAGATTTGGAGATCATCTGCGTAGAGATGATCAGTACGGTACAATATGAGAAGAAGAGGAAAGAGAGTATGGCTTAGGACAGATTATTGAAGTGCACACACATACTGAGAGGTGGAAGATGACCTGCAAGGGAGACTGCAATTGCCAGTCAGTACCTAAAGGAGAAGGAAAGCAGATTTGCATCACAGAATCCAAGAAAAGTAAATAACTGGAGCAAAGAGTTCTCAACAGCCTCACAGGTTGCAGAGAAGTCCAGGAGGAAGAAGACTGAGAAAAGGCCATTTGATTTAGCAGTTAAGCGATCACTGGTAATTGTGGAGATCATAGTTTTCAGAGGGACTGGTGATCATAGTGAGATGTGGAGTAATTCTAAGAAGAGTGAGCCAAGGGGAGGGATGGGAAAGCTAGGAGATCATATCAGAAGGGAGAATTTCAGAGGGTGATACCATGGAGGTGGTATAGGTTATGAGTATTGATGACATATGAGGAATGGCCAAACCTATGAGTGGCTTTGCGCATAGGGGTTTGAGAAGATGGTTGAACTTCAAGGTCAGGGCATTTGGGTGAATATCCATCTCAATAGTGAAGTCCTCAGATTAGAAGGCAGGGGCTGGGGTAGTGAAGAAGACCAAGCCAGGTCATAAAGCTCTTGAGGAAGGGAGGAACTATAACCTCACTATCGGTATATCATACCAGTGATTATTTGGGTGGGATGAAAGTGCAGCTTAAAGAAAAGGAGAGGTTACAGAGTGATGGTGTAAGAATAAGGGTCTAAAAGTAGCCATGGGGAGGAGGAAGCAGCTCAGGTCACTTTTACCCAGTGTTTTGGCGGTCATGGGAGGAACAAAACATGCTTGAAAATGTAGCCAGAATTGTAGTGTCTTCTGAAGAGAACCATATTTGCTGGGAAACTGCAATATCAAAAGAATGGAAGATGAAAAGGCCTAGGGTGTAGGAGAATTTGTCATCGATAGAGTTTGTCATCAGTAGAATTCCAGAGGTTTCAGTGGACTAGGAAATCCAAAAAGGACTACAGAAAGTCAGAGCTGAGGTGAATAGGGATAAAAGTGTGAGTAGAGGTGTGAAGAGGAGGGCTTTTTGCCATGGCAGCTCCCAATCTCTTGAGTCCCTGAAAATAAAGCAGTCGACCTCTGATGGATCTCTTCAAGATATCTGATAGATTTGAGCCCTCTTCTTTGAGACTTCATATTGCCTTTAGCTCCCGAGGCAAGGGTCTCTGCTAGGAATGGGTGCTCCTAAGCTCAGGCTTCTGCTGCCTGTTGCAGCCCTGTGAAGTAAGAAGGGCAGGTCTTGGAGTTATAGAAAGTTAGCACTGGGATGAAACTGAGGGGTCACCTAGTCCAGGATTCTTGTCTCCCTTTTACAGATGAGGAAATTGAGGTTCAGAGATGTTAAGTGATTTGTCCAAGGTCACGGAGGTGGGAAGTAACTGAGTTGAGACTCAACTCCAGGTTTTAGAATTCTGAGCCACGTTCTTTACTATGTCTTTTATATGACAGGCACTGTGCTAAGCACTGGGAATACAAAGAAGGACAGAAGACAGCCCCTGTCATCAAGGAGCTAGTGGGAGAGACAGAATGAAAACAGCTGTGTACAAACCAGGGACAAACAGGATAGATCAGAGGCAAGCAATAGCAGTAAGGATAGGTAAAGAAAGGCTTCTCATAGACTGTGGAATATTAGCTGAGACTTGGAAGAAGCCAGAAAAACTAGGTGGGAGAGTTTTCCAAGTGTGGAGAAGAGCCAGTGAACATTCCCAGAGGGTGGAGATGGAGTGTCTTGTTCAAGCAATAGCAAGGAAGTCAGTGCCACTGAGTATAATACAGTGGGGGAGTAAGTAAGGTACAAAGAGACTGGGAAGATAGGAGGGGGCCAGCTTGTGAAGGGCGTGATATTTGATTCATATTTGAATCCCGGAGGTGATAGGGAGCCACTGGTGTTTGTTGAATGCGGAGGTGATGTGGTCAGTTCTGGGCTTTAGGAAAATCATTTTGACAGCTGAATAGAGAATAGATTAGAGTGGGAAAAGACTTGAGGCAGGAAAGGCTGTTGTAGAAATCCAGATTTGAGGTGATGAGGGCTTCCACCAGCATCCTGGCAATGCCAAAGGAGAGATGTTATGGGGTTAAAATTGACAGGCCTTAGCAACAGATTGGATATGGAGGAGGAGAGGATAGTGAGGAGACAAGGTCTAGCGGTACCCTTGATATTATTGGAGAGGTTCAGAAAGGGAGATGGTCTGGAGGGAAATATTTCAGTTCTGGATATATTGAGTTTAAGGTGTCTGCAGGACATCCAGTTTAAGATGTCTGTTTGACATTTGGAGATGCGAACTTAGAGGTTAGGGCTGGATAAATAAATTTGAGAATCATCAATATAGCAGTGGTAATTGCATCCATGGGAGTTGATGTCAAGGAGCAGTTCAGAGGAAGAATAGAAGAGGACCCAGGACAGAGCCCTCTGGGACATCGATGGTTAGCAGGCAGACCCAGCAAAAGATGTGGAGAAGGAGTACTCAGGTTGGAAGAAAACCAGGTTAGAGCAGGGTCACAGAAACTTAGGAGAAGGTATCAAGAAGAGAGTGATGGACAGTGTCTGAGGCTACAGAGAGCCCAAGGAAGATGAGGAG